CAACCCTCCAACCTCTCATTGGGCGCCCTCTGCGCCTTCTGCCAGGAGGAACCCAAACAAGCACCTTCTTCGGCAACCTGTCTCCTGCCACTCTTTCATGACTTTGCCAAATAAGTTGCTTCGTCATAATGTCATGCACAATGGTCGGATTGACATCCATGATCTCCCGTTCCCTCTCATTCCTGACACGAAATGCATACATTTTATAAAAAATTAAACAAAATATAACGCGATATCTCGGAGGTCAATTTTATGGGAGCTGAGAGATAGGGGTCATACCTGTGCACACTTGCGGAGGTAGTGCACTTGTGCTTTTCTGTGCCCCACCTCTTGTTCCGCCTTTCATCCAAATACATATCACTATCTTGATCAGATCAAAAATATATTGGTTCTTTCTTTTCCTATTGTGATGAATGAATTTCAAAGATTATATCCTTTCCGAAGACTTGACTTATTCCAATGGTGCTTAGTGTGAGAAGTTTCTCTACAAATGTAATAATATCAGTACTCTCTATCAATCGTCCATGATTCACCTCTGATTCCTTTAAATTTATGCACAAAACTTTCATTTTCTACCCTTTTTCTATTAAAATCATCTGTGCCTCGCATAGGACTGCATCGTGCACGTTTCAACCTCACGTTTCCTCGAGTTTATGAACGGATTCTCATTACAGCGGTGCCAATCGTCAAAATGCGCTGAATTTAACAAGCCCTGGTGAATGGAAATTTCGAAGCTTTTCGCTTCGTCGCAGCAACACTGGCGCATTGTAATCGGTCGCGCAGTCCCGACGATTAAAAATAATAGATCCATCGAGATGCAATGGTGCCGGATCGATGCTGCCATTTTCGCGATGAAATAATGATATTTTACGTGGATTTAAATGGAGTATACGGCTCAATTTCCAGCACTATCGGATCTATTATCGATGTTTCCCCATTCGAAGCTGTGGTAAAGAATCCATTATTTATGTGTTCATTGCGAACACCCTGTTTATCGATCCTTTTCCATAAGTTTAATGGCAGATCAATCGATACATCGCAAAGCACGCTACACCACTACCATCTGGCAAGGATGTGCCGGATCGAGGCGGATGCAGGATGCTATGTAAAAAAAGTATGTTCATAAGGCATGTACAATAACTTAGACCTTCATTCCTGGGTTTACCGATAGCAGTTTGTATACGATTTTTTTTAAATGAGAGTAACATTATTGTCCCTTTCATGACTTTTCAATAATTGAGATTCCGATTTTTTTTTTAAAAAAAAAAAAGAGTCCTGGTAAAAATGGGCGATAAGAGCTGCGTTTCAAAATACCGTGGGAATTTTTATAGCCAGCTAAAGAAGGCTACAGAAAATCACATAGCTGGCTGTAGAATGCGGAGAAAATCATACGGCCGGGCTATACAAAGCGATAAAAAATTATGCAGCCGGGCTATAGTTTCTATCGCAGGGCTTTACACTTTATCGCCTGGCTGTTGCTTTTTCGCCATCGATTATAAAAGGCTATAAGAAATTGTGTAGAAACTCGTGTGCTTTGGAAATCAATAAGTTTGATACGGAATCACCTTAATATTTACAAAACACACATTATATTTTCCTTTACTACATATTTTTTTTCATCAATTAAAATTAGAATAATCCATACAGGATGTGCAAACATTTCAAAATCAGGAGTTGAATAACGGGGACTCTGGCAGATTAAATATTAGAGCCTTACACAAAATGGAGCGGCGACGCACAGGCGCCTACAAACCTAACAGGGATACTTCACGCATTGCGCAACGCGTGAAGTATCCCTGTTAGGTTTGTAGGCGCCAGTGCGCGTCTCGTGCTAGCTGCCCGCCTGCCGCGCCGCAGCGTACCACGGCGCTTGAAGCAACTATTTCACACCAGAGGTATTGCACAGCATCATACGAAACTGAGGGCGCTCTAATATATTAGTAATGGCAGGCATCCATCAAAAGTACGGAGCTTTCCTCGCAAAATAAATCAAGATACTACGGCCCAAAAAGAGAGTAGTATTCCAAAAACTCACTAAGTCCTAGCATCCGTAATTAGTAACGTTTAGCATACACTTTATCGCCCGGCTGTTGCTTAATCGCCATCGGCTATAAAAGGCTATAAGAAATTGTGTAGCCGGCTATATAAGCTGTTGGAAATCTTACAGCCGGCTGTAGGTCTATGGTATTTTGGAACACATTCTACTGCCAATTTTTACCAGGGAGAAGATTCCAAATTCAAAATTTCTTTCCCTTAGAAAGTACACTGGAGAAAAAGTACCTCGGATCTCGAGTCAAGACTCTTAAAAACATTGACAAGAAAAAATCCTCTTGATTCAATCGGACTTTTTGCTTGAATCAAAAGAAAATCCTCCTAAATCAAGAAGCTCGGCTCTTCGATTCAAGGAAAAATCGGATTGAATCAAAAGTATTTTTTTTTTTTTTTTTTTTTTTTTTGTCAATATTATTAAGAGTCTGGACTCTAGATCCAAACAACTTTTTTTCCAGTGTAACTCAATTTAAATTTCTAGGAACTCCAGTGCTCCCGGCTGAAGTTTATCCATCCGACTAAATAATTTGTCTAAATCTTCAGAAATCATTATACAGGGATCAGCTACTCCACTTTAGTATTCCTTCGTCCATTCGACGACTCAGCCTTTCTTTCGACGAACTACCTGTGACATGAAAGCTCAGTGTGGTTACTTCCGAAACATATCACCAGCGCGAGCGTCAAGACAAGCAATCAACCCAAGCGGCGAATAGCGATGAGCGATGCGTTCCAACGAGCGAATAAATTCGTCCCCAGGCTGCATCGCTAAAATTTGCCGGATCGCCGTCAAACTCCCGTCCTTTCACGTCAGCCTTACCGAGAAAGTTTGACGTTATCGACGCGAGCTGGCAAAACGGCACCTCCGAGACGCAGTTTCAAGGTCACTTTGGCCTACGCAATTTATTGTTGCTCTTGCCAATAGCTATATAGTTATTAATTATGTTAAGAGTTGAACATTTCAACCGCGAGTGCTAAGCGCTTCTATTGGGAGAAAGTAAACTTCCCGCGCCCAACCTTTTAAGATCACTCTGTGCTCCTAACCTCACTTTGGATCTTAGAAGCGTCCCCTTCCTCTGCGCAAGCTGTTGTTATCTTATTCGTCCTTTCATCAGTGCGACTGGCCTGTCACCTACTTTGCAATGTTCTGCAATTTAGATGGAAGTCCCTTTTTTCAGCTATCGATCGATGTTTTGATGGATAAATGACTGATTTGGCTGATTTTAATAAATTTTTAAAAATCTAAACGTCGATGTGAGCACTTTGATCTGATTTTTTAAAAAAAGTGAAGCTGTCATATCCTAAAATGGCAGAAAAATAGTGCTAAAGAGACATATTGCCTCGTAAGTCATGTTGAGCATTTATCACTCACGTGTGCCAAATGACCATAATTAATCCCAATTGTAATCATGTATCAACCGATGACAATCAATGTAGTTCCACTTCAAACTCTGTGACGAGGGCTAACGGGGAGCTGAAAAAAATTATGACCTCCACTTGTACATAAACGTGGCTGCATTGGTGGCGACGTGAGATTAGGGATCTGAAAAACTTCCCTTAGTAACAGAACACTTATATTGAAGTTACTTCGTGAAAAGTATCAAACGCCTTCACTTAGCTGAGTATGCAACACAGAGGTGATGCGAGAATTTTTGCCTATTCGTTTCTGATCGCTGAAAATTGATAGGATCCTCTCGGAGATCCACCGTTCTAGTTAAGCACGGCAGTATCAAACGCCTTCATTTAATTGATTATGCAACTTTTGATGGTGATACAAAAGTACTGACCAATTTTGATCCAATAACCAACAGGCCCGTAGTCCTAATTGAACGTGTTTCTGCCAAAAAGAACAATGTGAAAATGGATTAAGTCAAAAGGAACTAGACAGAAAGTTGGTCATTTTACCTACGTGCGCTAGTGTTCAGTTTGAAACTGAAAATCTCATTAAAGAGGAAAAGAGCCCATTCGAGCAATATTTTCACTCAAAGAAATATGCTGTCTGGTGCAACTCTAGTTACGACCTATAGCAACTGCAGACGCATTATCATTTTTCTAGTTACAAACTGAACTCTAACGCATATCAAATTTTTGTCTGAACGACTCGTGCGTCGAACCGCACTCATTTGGTATTTTGTTCCATTTCTTTTTTTTAATGGGATTAGTGTGCTACGTAGTTCGTTTTGATTTTGTTCGTTTTATCGTAGTTTCTTTTACCACAAGCCCGCTTAATTGAACACAAATTTTGAAAATTAAACAGTTCTGTGATGCAAAAATTTCGTATTCTCCATTGAATTGTATCGTTCCATTTAATTTTAGAGCGCTTCTTAGGTGACGTTACTTATTTGATACAGTGAAGTAACATCGTGTTGTGCATAGTGTTTGCATGCTACAATGCTACATACACAGTACCTTTTGATTTCGTTCATTATTACGGACTCCCTTTCAACACAAACATTTTTCATTGAAAAAAAAAAAATTAAACCTATTTTGATATCCCATTTTTAAAAATTGGACAGTCTTGTGATGCAATAATTTTGTATTCTAAATTGGATTTTATCGCTTAATTTAATGCTAGAACATTTCCCAGCTGATACACGGAAAACAAAACTTCGTGCATGGGACCCGAAGTTGAGGTCATATGGATCTCTGAAGTTTTCTGATCACACCTCCGAAAACTTGAAGTTCGAACCGAAGTTCGGGTCAGACACAGAGGCACTTCGGTATGTACCGGAGTACTTCAGATGTGTGACCCGAACCCATCGGTATATATCGAAGTGCTTCAAATGTCTGACCCGAACTTCGGCAGCTGGACCTCAAGTTTTTAGATACGTGATCCGAAAACTTCAGAGATCCATATGACCTCAACTTCGGGTCCCACGCACGAAGTTCTTTTCTCCATGTATTACATCTATTGGAACGATAAAATAACATGAAATTTGTTTTCATGATTACAGGACCACGTTGAGGATCCCGATCCGAGGGACTACTACTCATCGGTCGACGAAGAAAAAGGCCCGAAAATCACTCTCTTCTCCGCCTCCGGTGTCCTGAGCGACGAGTCTCAGTTCTCAACGCGGACCGGCGAGCCGCGCGCATCGACGGAGCCCAGCGCCACGGCCAACACCGCACAAGGGGGCTTCTCCTCAACGACCCCGTACCCACCTTTCTCGAGCCAGTACTTCGAGGACGCCAGGGACAGCCCGTCCAACACCGAGAGTCCATCGAAAAGCGAAGACACAGCCACGAACCCGTCCACCGATCAACCCTCCGACAACGACATCAACGAAACCTTCGACGCCAAGCCTTACCGCCCCAGCTACCTCTCCTCGAACTACATAGAGGACTCCCAGCCGAGCGAGTCGAAAACCTCCTTGCTCAGCGAACTAACGAACGCCCTCCGCGCTGCTTTGCAGGAGAATCCGGAAGATGGCGCCAACGGCAGCAACCTGCACATTACCACCTACTTGGCGGATACCAACGCAGCAGCGCCGCTCAAGAACTACACCGCCGAGCATAACGAAACCCTAGCGAAACTAGCGGATTCCATCTCGGAGTACCTCGCGCATGAAGATGAACAAGACGCGGCGACCGCCACGCCTCCCAACGAAGCGAATGAAACACCGGTATTCGAACCCACAGCCCCGATCGAAGACCAAAACGTCACCCCATCTATGAAACCTATCATTGTTACCGATTTGGTGTACTACAATACACAGCCTCAACCGAATGACCCGAAATCCAATTACAACTCGCAATCGAATGATATCCAGCAGTCCAACTACAGCCCGCAGCCGAGCGACAGACCCAACTACATCACCTTACCGAACTACAGCCCGCAACCGAATTACATCCCACAGTCGAACGAGATCCCGGTCGCTAACTACAGCCCCAACCCGCAGCCCAACTACATCACACTGCCGAACTACAGCCCGCAGCCAAACTACATATCACCATCGAACGATGTTCAAAACGCCAACTACAACGCCCAAACCAACGATGGCCAACAAGGTAACTACGTTTCCTTGCCTAATTACAGCCCGCAACCGAACTATAGTCCTCAGCCGAATTACAGCCCACAGCCAGCGTACAGCCCGCAGCCTGTATACAACCCGGCTTACTACTATGAAACCGAGCCGGTCGAATATCAAACGACTCCAACAGTGGAGCCGGCCGGAAACAGCACGAGTCCCGTCGGTGGAGTGGAGAGCTACAGCAACGGAGAATCCGGCCAGTTGAAAGTTCAGGCTCAGCGTGACGTCACATCCACAGCGGGAACCACTCAACATACGACCACCGTCCGAGAGGCGTCGACTCCGCCAACCGTAAACGCCGAGGACCGGATCACCGGAACCACGCAACAGAGCTACGATTACTCATCGTCGGCCTCGGAACAAGTCGAGGTCGCCAACTTGAAGAACTACGAGATCTTCGGGCAGAAAATCGTCAAGGACAGCAACAAAGAAAAGAAGGAGGTGAGCGTGGAGAAGCAAGAGCTGGAAGCGAAACCGGTCTACACGACCGTCGTCGAGATCCAGAAATCCATCCCCCTCGAAATCAAAGAGGTCGGCCAAAACAACTACGACGTCTTCGTCGACCCGAGCGCCAAAGCTCCAAACCCCCTACAAGAGGTCATCGGGAACAACGTCGAGTCTCAACAAACGGTCGGCGAGTACCCCCAGCCCCAAAGGCCGCAAGGCGAGTACCAGCAGCAGACAGTCGAGTACCAGCAACCCCAACAAACGCCCGAATACCCTCAGCAACCTTTATTCCAGCCACAATTACCGTCATCCGAGTACATGACTCTGGAGCAGTACCAGGCGCAGAGGTACCAGGAGGGTGCCCAGAACGGACAGCAAATGTTCCTGATCCAAACGCTCCCAGCGCTCATCCCAGCCGAGGTGATCGGCAACACGATCCACCCTCTTCGCGAACAGCAAGAACAGATGGCCTCCGAGAACCAACCCTACGCGTCCCACTACATCGACCAAATGGCGGCGGTGCCTGAACCCGCTGTAGTGCCTCCTCCACCGCAACAAAACGTGATTGTAAATCTCGAACAACCAGTACCGCAACCGCTCAAACACCATTCGCTCCACTACAACTTGATCAACGAGCCACACTACGGTCGCCCGGCCGTTCCGACGTACAGCCCAATCTTGTACCACCGCCTCTACGGCGACAAAACCAACTCCCACAAAGGGTACAACCCAGTCAAATCGCACCCGGTACAGATCCCCCACGCGGTACCGATCCCTCTGACGAAAATCCTCCCACCAGCACCGCTGCCCGTCCCGATTCACTACGCCCCACCGCAGTACCAACCACCCCCTTACAACCCGAGCTACGCCGCCCCCGTTAACTACGCGCCGATCCGGGAGTCGGCCCCTGAGAGTCGGTTGCCGTACGGGCACAGTTTCCCCTACGGGAAGTCGAAGATCTCGATGGAGAAGTTGCGGCAGCAGATCTTGAGGTACGATCCCCACGCGAGGAACCCTCCGTTCCGGCCGAGCATGCAGCTCTACGATTCGGTGTACCCCCCGCAGATGTTCTACGAGGAGAGGGTCATCACGAAGAGGGGCTCCGGGGCGAGGGGCACGCGAGGCACTTACTCCAAGAAGCTGTGCGTCGAGTACGGAGGGTTCAAGCCCCCGCTCATCCCCTCGGTCGAGATCAAAGACGACCCCGCCACGAGCTTTGCCAAGAAGAGCGACGAGAAAAACTAGGAGCTCGCATTATTAGTGTAAGATCTTCAGTTGCCATGAGTTGTCAGTGATTATACCTTTCGGTTAGATTACGCTCTAGTTAAACCTAGCTAGTCGCAAATTAAAAGCACTGGATTTGTGATAGCAGCGGGCTGATTGTTGAAATTGATAGACAAAGATATTGGCAAGGAAGACATAAGGAGTAAGGAGCTAATTATTGGTTGAAATAAGTGGTTCTTATAGACTAAGGGAGAAAATGATGGACTAACTATAAAGTCGTCCGTGAGTTGCCATTAGTTAGTCTATTACCTTCCTCCTTTGTCCACTGCAAAAACCCGCCTACGCCAATAGAATCCCTCTATATCCTATCTATATACCCTCTATATCCTATGTCTTCTTTGTCTATCGCTTTGTCTACTTGTTTCAATAATCAGTTCGCAGGTTACAGTGGCGGGTAAGATAAAATAACTTTTCACTGTTGTGTCCCGAATATTTGATTTGCCCTTACCACACGGAGAAAATTTCGCGAATGGAACCTGGGTGCTTCGGATTCAGAACAAATTTTCGGACCTTCTATCCAAAAAAGTGCTGAAGTTCTGGTCACACATCAAAGGTGATTTAGAGCTTTGTTTGAAACTTTTACGGAGTCAACCAAAGCACCGCAGTACTTTAGATGTTTGACTTGAACTTTGGCAGCTGGACCTTGAGATTTTGGATGCTCAATTCGAAAACTTCAGAAATTCACATGACCTGATCTTCGGGTTCCACGTATGAAGTTATTTTTTCCGTGAATAGGTTTAAAAAAAATTACTAAAATTTTTTTTAACAAAGCATGCCATCTTTGATAAAAGTAGCTTTGAGAAGGTTTTCCATTGCACATCATTTGATCAGTTTTAATCTGTACCACTAAAAATCTAAAACTTTTCGCTTTGTTTAAGTGGATTTTCTGAGAGTTTTAGCAATACTTCACTTGTTTATAGTTAGAAGACATTTTGTCTCACATATCCGCGTCGAGGATCCTTTCAAGCAAGTCAACGTTATATTTCAAATCACTATAGACAGAGAAACGTATTATTTTTTTTTTATAATTAAGTCGTAACTGATGAGGACAAATTATGTAAAATGAGAAAATTGTGTTAAAGGTACTGAAAGCAGACATTTTTTCTCCTGGTAAGATGGTTCGTTATAGAAAAAAATTGAATATTTGGGACACGGAAGTAAGCGGTTATTTGATCTTACACAAACGTTAAGATCACCTTTGAATCTCATTTGCGGTTACGTGCTGTAAAATATGATGGACACAAGCTAGTTGCGCCTTCCGTAAAAATGTGAATATGACGAGGATTTGATGAATGCAGAATTGAAAGGACTGGCGGAGAATCGAATAATTTAAAAATGTTTGCACCATGACCATTGAGATCAGATCATACATATGCAGTCACTTATTTTTATTTTTTAGAAGCCTAAAAAATTCAAATGCATATTAATTTTTGCGCTTGACGGCCTAGGACGGATTTTTCGAATGAGGATATTCAAAGCAGGTAGTTAAAAAGTTAGGTGCATGGATGAAGCCTGTGATAGAAAAGCTCACGTGGGAAATTCAATTCATCAAGTAAAAAAGGAACTTTAAAATTTTAAGTATTTAGTGAACATTCTCTTTCAAAACGTAGACAAAAAGTTATGCGCTTCCTAATTCATTGCTGTGTTTATTCAACACCGAAATTTTCTCCCAATTGAATGGGTTAAAAACGTAAATTTTTGAACATGGAAAATCTGAACTTTTTGAAAGTGGAAAAATGGAGAAAAATGTAAATTTTCAAAAGTATTTCTCTCATGTACGTTCATTCTATCCGAAAAAGTAAAGAAAGGCTTGTTGAAGATTTTCTTTTGATCAAGATATGCTAGAAGAGAGATCCGTGGAATATTAAATAGGTATATTCCAAAAAGCCACGATTCATTCTATTCTGATAAAAAATTCGAGAATATCTTAGTAAATCATCTTTAAGAAACAATTTCCGAATCAAAGAATGCAAAGCAAATTTACAACTACATTCAATAAAATATTCTCATTATTCGTAGTCTCTCCTTTAATGCCTTATAAAATCTGTTTAATTTTTTATTTTATTTTTATTTTTGGACCTGAGGTAAAACCATGGTCTTTTTCGAACATTTCGGATCAAAAGTAAATTTTGGTGCATCGATGAAACACGAACAACAGATCACCTGATCTTATTGCACGTAAAAAGAGGGATAATCAGTGAATCTCGCTTTTGAAAGTCTGCATACTACAAAATTTACCCACCTTTAGAATTCCACGCCAAATTGATTGAAACGATTAGTTTTGATTGAAATCAAATTTGCTTGAGATGGACACATTTTAGTAATGAAATGGTTTGTCTCACACATTATTTTAAGAACGGATAAATATTTCCAATGTATGTTGGTACCTCTGTAAAAATATTTTCAAATGTACATATCAACTGTATAAAGGTTAAATTATTTTTAGTTGTTATCATGATCGTAAGCCAAATATTATTTATTGATTTTTGCTGTAATTATAATTAAGGGTGCTCATAATTGAAAAAGTAAACTTTTTTCTTTCTATTGGTTTTGAACTTCTTTTTGATACCTTGCTTTTTAAATCAGTCTCCAAAAGTTGATTCTATTCTCATTCGGACAGCAGGGATCTTCAATATATCATACACGGTCATCGGCGATTACTGAAAGTTGGCAGCAGTGTTTTTTCTCAATTCAACTGTGTGTAAAACAATCGATCCTCGGTAAGGCAGCTTGTCTCACTTAAAATAGATATTTTTAATGGATTTAAACGGAGAAAAAACAGTGTTGCCAACTTTCAAGAATCGCCACTGTGCATGATCATCTTGAATAGTTTTCGTCCCCAAAAGTATTCAAATAATAAATCTCTGGTAAAGCCCAAACCTGAAAATCGTTTGAGCACGAATAAAGTGTTAGGAATATTTTTAGACTACTTGGTCATAACCTAAATAATGTTTTCTTCGGGTTTTGCGGCCTTTTTTAGTATGGTTAGTTTCAACGCTGTGTCCAGGCCAAAAAATTAACTTCCACTGGATTTGTCCGGAAAATTTTAGTCAAAATTAGTCATAGAAGCGGGGCAATGGTAGAAATTCGAAAATCTTCATTTCGTTGGAATCGCACTAAGACAGATTCTCCTTGACTATCAGTATAATGATGATGATGTGCCGTCCTTCAAATTGGATCCCGTAGGAACTGTATGAGCCCCCTTACCTCACGCCACTTGAAATAAACTATTTACACAAATGAACACATTATTCTCAAAAGATAGGCATTATCAATTTTTTTATTCTGGAAAACATGTTAAAATTGGAAAATTGAAAAGGTGTAGTGGATCGTTCCCCCTTATCCGTATCACGCTCATTTAAAGTAAAGGTGAGGAATGAGAGATTATGGCACAGGATTGAAATAAAGTTTACGGGTTTATCCCGTTGACTTAAATCATCAGAAAGATACTAGGGGGCTATGATCCGTGGCCGCTACACGGCCAAACCCCCAGAGGGCGCTTTGAGCTCTCTTAGGCCCGGTCCGACAAAAGAACGACCAAAAAAATGAAAAGATTTTCATACCCGACTCTCATTTGTCCAATCTTCCTATGGCCGGGAGCAATTGGACCAATAAGATTCGAAAGAAAAAAATCGTCATTTATTTCAAACTTCACGCCAAGACTTAAATGAAATGGAACGAACGGAACGGAGCCTTTCTTCACTTTCGGATATATATAGTCTATATAGTAAAGGAGCGTACCTTCGATTGACTGACTTTACCCCGATTGAGCACAGGGGAGAATTTTATGAGCCGCTGTCCGCGGCGCACTATGGTCCAGAACTCAAAAATAGGAAAAAATAAGTCGGTTTATGACTGAAAAATCACGAAGGTTTCGACACTGATGATTTCTGAGTTGCTGATTTCGAATTTGATGCCAAATTGCCGAGATTCAAACACCCTGACCTATTAAATGTGGGCAAGTTTATGGCACGCTGCGTCGCGGCGTGGTGCCAGCTTGAAACGCGCATTGGCGCCTACAAACCTAAGGGGATACTTCAAGCATTGCGCAATGCGTGAAATAGCCCCTTACAAATCTAAGGGGATACTTCAAGCATTGCACAATGCGTGAAGTAGCCCTGTAGGTTTGTACGCGTCAGTGCGCGTTTTGCGCTGGCAGCACGCTGCCGCGGCGCGCTCCTGGCATCGCTAATTCACCTCAGCTCAGCTTGTAACGAACCTCGGTAGCTGAGCGGATAGGATGCTCGACTGCGGAACACGCTATTCCGAGGTCGATTGATGGTCCTAAAACTTGCTTAAGACTAAATAAACTCCGAATCATGATTATTGATCCAAATAAGTCCCAAAACTCATTTTCATCAGCCAAATAAGCGATTTATACTGGCTTAGCGGTTCAATGAATTAGCGACTTCTGTTAAATAGACAACTCCGTGATAAATTACTTTTTTTTTAATTTTCTTTTTAAATTTCCGACTTTTAACATTACATTAGAATAAGTGTAATAATGAAAGGCGGGTCGTGCTGTCATGCGCGCTGCGGACGGCGGCTCATGAAATTCTCCTCTCTGCTCTGTCTACTTCACCCAACTGACCGACCAGATTCAACATTTCCCGCTTCTTTCAATTTTGCCCCCCTTTCTAAGCTTCCTGATCTACTGTTATATGAAAAAACCTGGGTATTTTTTTCAAAATCTGATTACAGCGGGCTCAGAGACAATCACCTGTCGATGACCTCAAATATCATGGCAATAGGCCCAGTAGAACGCACAAACGAACCCTGAAAAAAAATAAAAATTTACATTGTTTAAATGGGAAAATTCGCAACTTTATCACGTAATATAAAAAAACCTGGGCCATATTTTCAAAATCTGAATAAAACGGGCTCATTTAGAGACAATTGCCTGTCGATAGCCGCAAAAATCATGAAAATCCGCTCAGTAGAACGCTGGAACTGAGCGTTACCAGATATGCATATTAAGGCGGTCTTTGAGCTTACAGTATAGACGTAAACCTGAAGATTGTGCCTACAAGCCGTACCTCCAACGTATAAATGAGAAGTTGAAAAGACAGTCGTTATTAAGCATTAATTTAAGCTACTACCTTTGAATTCTGCGAAGTAACCAAAAAATGAGCTACCGAAATCAAATGAAAAAAAATCAACCATAGTATTAAACTCTTAGCGACACAGCAAAAGTTGAAACAGTATCGAACGATAAATGTTGCCTCATGAAAGTTGAAAGTTCCTTCAAATTCCCGTGATACCACCTCTGTAACACATATTCTACATCATCTGTACAGTGCGTGCTGCACTGCCAGCGCTGCCTCATCTTATTTTGTGGCTTCAACTCATTGCAGTTGATCATGTTTCTGTAATGAATGTATATGTGTGTATTCTGAGAATCAAACTCGCCATGGACTTCTATTTTTGACGTCTCAAAGTCCGAAGCTGATGGTATTAGATCGAACTTTGAGAACATTTTATGATGTGATCTCGCACAAATACGGAAGTCATAGGGACCTAACACTCCAACTACTTACACCTAACCTAACGAGGATAGCCTAATCCAAAAAACTTACTTTTGGATTTGAAGTTTCCTTAAAATTTACACTAATGCTGAAGTTTTTAAGTAAATTTTTTTTGATAGTTCACTTTGGATCAAAGTTTCTCATTTTAAAAAAAATGCTCTTAACGTCCCTAAACTAATGGAGGTTTAATTCATAATACATATCGACGGTGTATATACTATACAACCACGTATCTCGTTTATTATGCGGTGTTTGAAAATCTGCGCTCCTGTTAAACGAGAACAATTCGACATAATTACTTGAAGTTCTCGCATGATTTCCTTCGCAGAGTGAAGAAAAATCACGGCAGTTTTTAAGAGGTGCCGTTGAGTATTTTTCCATCTAAAAAATAAAGTATGACAGGAAGTCTGCAACGTCGCAAACCAAGATACGTGGTTGCAGACTTACAGCGTCGATATTTGCCGTGCAATAAATTCAGTAGTATTATCGAGGGGAAGCGAAGCATTCGTATTGCACAAAATAGTTTAAAATTCGATAAATGATATATTTGGGAACAAATACAGATATTCTCCATGAAATAAGGGATACCAAATGTTACGGAGCAATCTCACCAGTTCGAGTCGTTTCGTTGGATGTGAAATTGCCTCTACGACAAATTGAAGGCGTTTTGCGAAGCTGCGGGCATACATAAAAGTTGGGAAAGAACAGTCTTGGTGGTATAGGAGCGAAAAAATCAGTTTAATTCAATTTCAAATCTCAAGTGGTTATTGAGATTTATCGCTACCGCTGAAGTATCTTCAACATGCATCTTGCATGTGCATGTACTTAGATTCATTCCAAGGGTCAAATGGATAAACACATTATAATATCCGTATCTTACCTTCACACGTAAGATATTATTAGTCCTTATCACTTTCTGCTACTAATGATAAGTACCGGGTCTCAAGTTATTTTTCTATATTTCTTTGTAAAATCCGGAGAAATGAAGATTTTTTTTTTTTTTTTTCAAAATTATTTTCCCAAAAAGTTGCTTATGTGCAGACGAGAGAAAAGTATGCCAGGAGGAGATTGATTTTTGTCACCTCCGGTAACCATGGAGCACTGGTAATGGGATTGCTGTAAATTTTACTATTAATACTTGTGAGCAATATCATAACTTGGACTAGAAATTTAAGTTGTGCCTAAAATTAGAAATGAACATCGTAGGAGCTGCGATTTCATGTTTTCCCTTGCGATGAATGAAAGAGATGAGGGACATTTTGTTTATTTAGAAAAAACCGAGTCTATAATTTAGAATTGAAGCGTATCTTGCATTATTCTGTTTAAAAATATTTTAAATTGATGTTTCGAGCCTGAAATTGAGTTTTTTGGACATTTTCCCCTCACTTAGAGGGGAAGGGGTTCGAAGCTTTCATTGGAACAATTTTTTTCAGAATCATCATTTGGTTTCAAAAATATAACTCGCCCTCCTCATTTTCTGAAGCCTTCTTAAGTTTTAGAGCAAAATATACAAGCAGTAAGGAAGCTGAGCCTTGGCTACATTGACGCGAGCAAACTAGAATAAAGAGAAGCTGATGAGAATAAATCGAGCCATTTAAATTACCGGTTCTCTGAAGAAGTTGAAAACCCCATTTTTTCCATCCACTGTTCCTTATCTCAGCATATCAGTTTTTTCATGTGGGAATCGTTTCTTCCGATGTAAAAACACATGCAAATTCAACTTGAAAACACGATACTTTCTATTATTGGACCGCGTTAACTAAAAAGGACCCAAGCCACATCAGCTATTTCTAAATTTCATTGGACAATTTAATTTTTCACGTGAAAGCAGTTGTGCGGATTTTTGTGCAAATTTCAGTGAATTTTTTGCAAAGTACGAAGTGAATGCCTTGAAATTTTTAAACTGTCTCTTGTAAAATTTTAAGTTGTCATATTGTAAATCGGCAATAGTTAATGTGGCTTGGTTCTTCTCTGCAAAATCCGGTCTAATTGGATTTCATTTTACAGTTGGATTGCCTCGTGTCAAAACGTCCGTTGTCCAATATAGAGTTTCATAATTGCAGTGGTTTCATTTGCCCCATGACACTAATGAATAAGATTGTTCTCTTTAGTAAACGTTTGATTATACTTACACGTATAAAATTGATCCAAATTCCAGACGTCTTAAACCACCTTGTGTCTAACAACGGAATAATTGCCCACTCAAATTCTGAAACACTATATTGGACTTCGGACGTTTTCACCCGAATCGAACCGATTCATTTGGTAACTACAATATCTATTTCATCCTAAGAAACCCTTACCTGCATAGGGAATCTAATGGTACACACGTTATTGCTTCGAAACTTAGCCTGAAATTGTAGTTCCTAATTGCAAAACGTAGTCCACTTTCACCACCATGTTAAATCCGATCTACTCTATCACTAAGTTCCTCCATCTTCGCTTTGTCGGCGGCATTGCTCTTCTTTACGGGATTACAATGATGTCATTCACTTCCAGAAAAACTCTATCGATGAAGAGCATCTATAAAGGGAGCATTACAAATTGAATTTCAAGTACGGGCTTGAAATCGTTATCAGTTAACCGTCAACAAAGCGCTAATAAACATGACGTAAAACAGATTAATCTTTGCTGCACTAGACGCTGCTGATCATTATTTGAAAATAGACACGCGTCTCCTAAGAGCCGATGTCATAATTAGCAAGAAGCTGTGATAATTTTATAGATCTGACAAAGTTTTCTTCATTACTATTTCTTCACTGTGATATTGTGCCAGGGGTGCGTTAATTATTTCAAGATAAGTACGAATCAATGAAAAAATACTCTCCGTGCAGTGAGCATAGGTTAATAAGATAAAGTAACACAAAATTAACGCTTAAATACGTTTGATTCTTCCAAGACTCAACCAGTGATGTATTACGCCTTTTCATAGGAGTTTTTTGTATTATATGTTGCAAGAAACATAACTTTTTTGGTTTTTTTTACAGTTAGATTGTGCTGAACATAATTTCAACTCCCGAGAGCTTGAAATTGAAAGTTCGTTTCTCAGTGCAGACAACCTGTATCTAAATTAAAACTATTGCAATGGATCTACGTTTTATTTCTATTATTTTGACGACTATAGCTAGCATTGACTGCCTAAAAATCTTAATTATCTATCCCACTCCGTCTTACAGTCATCAGCGAGCAATTCTTGCCTTGTCAGAGAGACTTCTGAAAGATGGCCATAAATTGTTCGTGATCAGTCCAAACGCTGTACCGGTAAGTAATCAGAATCATATTTTCTACAGACTTACCTTGTCGCACCGTACACTCGGTTATTATTATTACAATCAAGGATCATGTCCGTAGTCGGCTCAAAAATGGTCTGAACGGGACAGTCCAATTTGAAACCGTTTTTTGAAAATGCAGGTGGAAAAACGGCGTGAATTTATTAGTTGAGTTTTCAGAAAGTATGTTTGAGCTTATTTAGTATTACTATAAATAAGTAAGTGCGAAAAAAATCATATGAGGTAATTTATCCTTAAAATTGGCATGAGTGAGGCAAAAAGCAGTTCAAGTTATTAGAAACTCGTTGAATTTTGAATGCAGAGTTCCTTTGCGGGTTATGTGTAAGCATCTATCTTGGATCAGAAAAAAAGATATAGCGGTAAAATTTGAAAAAAAAATTCTAAGGAGCCATGAAACATCTAAACTTTCAGAACTGTCGATGGTTGGTGAGTTGTCGCAGATTTAAGCTGCTGTGCGACCATAGCTCAGGGGTGTTTAGTCATGCTCGAAGCCCCCGTAGTTTAGCACAATACTATTAGACTTCGTGATCCAAAAATTCATTTTTTTTGCATAATCCATCAAGTTAGCGCCTGGCACATGGAAGATTAGAACTTTAAGAAGTTTCTTTTGGACAAGAGGAAAAATTCTCGTTGTTCCTACAATAATCATGGTGGATTCCAAGTCCCAAAAACTTTTCTACATTCGAAAGCTGCAATGCCACGTTTGAGAGAACAAATGTTTTGGTCCTGGTAACTGATATATCATTGTCGGTAAAACCAAAATAATTGTTACTACAAAAGTAATATTGTAATCAGGGCTAGAGAAGTATGTGGGACCCCTAAAATCCACTACGAAGTCTAAAATAGACGCACCGCCAATTTCAGACATTTTTGGAATTTCTTGAGGAAACACACTTTAATTTTTGAAGAGCAAAGGTCTAGTGAGTCTTCATTTGGACTGCGCTAAGCAGAAAGGAACCAAGCCTCGTCAATTTTTGACAACTTTAATGGGGCAATTTAATTAATTCCATGAAAACGGTCATGCGGATTTGTGTGGAAATTTCAGTGACTTTTTTGCATAGTACGAAGCAAATTCCTTAACATTTTCGAAAAAACTCACACAAATGTTCCCTTGTAAAAAATTGAAGTATGTCCAGGGTATTTTGGCGATATGTAATGCGGCTTGGTTCCTTTCTGCATAACTTGGTCCATTTTAAATTATGCTCGAAAATTAGTCAGGAATTATATTGATGGTATGCGTGACCGATTGAATTAAAATCAACGAATTTTCTTCCAGGGAATGGAGAGTAACCATAACTACACATACGTGGACTTGTCGTTCTCATATGAGAACTTTTCAGAACGGAAAAGCGAAGACACCGTTAACTTACAAACACATATAAGTAAATGGGACCTGCCTGCTCTTATGCAGAACTTTGCGAGAATGGCTAAAAGACAATTTCTCAGTAAACAATTTCAGGAATTCAAGAGGTAAGAACTAGCGACTACTGCATAATTTTACATTTTGAAGTAAATAGATATATACACTGATTGCGATAGAAGCACGAGTTGTAAGACATGTAAGTTGGAACTTTTTAGCCAACGTGCGTTACAAATCAGCATAAAGCTAGAAATCTCAATATAGAGGGAAAAACTCATATGAGCACTATTTTCCCTCAAAGAGCTGTGCTGTTTGGTGCAATACTAGTTACAACCATTAAGAAAGCTTATGAGCTTTTCATATGAGCTTTTTCGCTCTGTATTGAAATTGCCACCTTTATGCTGATTTGTAACGCATGTTGACTAAATAGATATACACAACCAAAAAACAAAAACAAAAAAATGGAAAATATATAAAATTAGGAAGAAAGTAATCATGATAATTTATCTCAAATGGGCTGCGTTAGCAGAGAAGAACCAAGCCACATCAGCTATTGCCAAATTCAACTGGGCAATTTCATTTTTTACGAGATAACGTCTGTGCGGATGTCTTTGAAAATTTTAAGGGGTTTTGCTTAATACTATGCAGAAAATATACTGAAATTTGCATGAAAATCCGCACACATCGTTTTTCGTGTGTAAAATTGAATTGCCCAACTAAATTTGACAAAAGCTGATGTGGATTGGCTCCTTTCTGCTAAGCGCGACCCAAATAATCATATGCATAATATAATCTGCCAAAGAGCAAAGTTTCTACGTCCATTATTTTCAAAGATATCCCCTCCTTAAAACACGGCTGATGGCGACATTCGGGTACGGCAGTTATTTAGCGGCAGGGGCAAAACTTTTGCCGCAAAAGGTGCCTCAAAAAAAACTTAGATAACATTATCATAGCCTCAAACGGTTTTTCTTTTTTGGATTGTATGGTTACTTTTGCATGATTTGATACAAAAAGCAACCGAAAATCAGCCCTCCTGTAAGTTTGAGGATGTAAAACGAGAAATTTAAGGGATCGATTGTTGAAGTTGGACGGCACTGTCTTCAGTCCTCCGGACGTTTCATTTCAAACGCTTAAATCAAAATCATTTTTAATATTTGGACCGCGCTAAGGAGAAAGAAACCAAGCCACATCAGCTATTACCATTGGGAAATTTAAATTTTTACGTGAAAACGGTTGTGCGGATTTAATTTGTGCCAATTTTAGTGCAATTTCTGCATAGTACGAAGCAAATTCTTCAAAATTTCCAAAGAATCCGCACAAACATTCTCTTGTGAAAAATTAAATTGCCCGATTAAATTTGGCAATATCTGATGTGGCATGGTTCCTTTCTGCAAAAGGCGGTCCATTTATTTAATTTTATCAGTAAAGTAAATTATGTTAAGAAACTTCGTCAACCCATGATTCTTGAAGGTTTATTAGGAGATATCCAGCATCTAGAACCGAACATTGAGATTTTTGATCCCTAATGGTTTTTTTTTTTTTTTTTTTTTTTTTTTTTTTTTTGCTGTACCTACTGAATGATTTAAGTCCCCACGTTAACGCGCATTTTGCCCTGCTACGTCACAAATATTGATATACAAATTGTCACTTCATTTTCGATTCGTAGTGACTGAATATTTTGGATGTCGACGAAAATATCATTAGGATTAACATTTGCCTACGAAGACCACGGTTCCTGTTCCTGGAGACAATTACATTTTATCAATGAAGTAGTTCTGCGAGAAAATTGTATTATTGCTTCAAGTGCAAAGATAACCTACTAGGTGCCTGATGCTCTACTACTGATACTACTTGATGAGGTAATTCCACAGTGTCTGTGGTATGCACAACCCGTGGATGATGTCATAAGCCGCGTTTTTCGATAAGAGATATCTGTGCTAACATTGGATGTAGAGACTTGGCATTTGAACAGCTTTTATAATTTTCTGCCGTTCTGAGGCAAAAACTACAAAAATACTTTTTTGTGATTTGCGCAAACTGATCTTTTTAGAAACCAAGTATATTTAGTATACAAGTATAAATATAGTATAATTCTAAAGTAAATTCATCAATTTCAGACACACGCAAATTCTCCAGAGGCATCATCTCACCAAAATGTGGAGCAAATGAATTTTTTTTTTTGCTCGTCGAAATAGCACAATACCAAGTGAACTGAGTTCATCAGAAAAGAACCAACCCATATAAAGTTGAAACTGAGAATAAAAGCAGGTTAGAAGTTTTAATCCTGCAGAAGGCTCAATGTAGAAAATAAGCTTTAAACCCTCTTTTCACAAACTAATTTCTCTTTCCGATTTTCAGTTTTTGGCAGGAGAAAATATACGGCTACTGGAACTCAAAAACATTCCTAACTCAATTTTTCGAAAATGCGGGTTGGTTCCTTTCTGATAAACTCTGTCCAAATGTAACCTCTGATGCTCCGAAAAAATGTAGCCTCTCTCACGCCATGATTCAAAACCTATAAAGAAATGTTTTATGAAAGTCAATTTTTCTAAAGTAAAGTAAGCATGCACCAATAAGTAATCCACAGTAATTTTAAGTAAGTAATTCAGTAAGTTTTATCCATTTACCTTGGATTTGGATCCAGGCCTTCTGAAATGCAGGGAGGCAATTGCTCTCCCTGCCCCCCCTCCCCTCTAAATGACGCCATAAAAATTCAACATTTCATGATTTTCTAATTTTAATTCCAGTCGCGTGGAGGCGGAACGTATGAAATTTGACCTCATCATCGTGGAGACATTTTTCATCCCATGGCAATCAGTACTGGAGCCTCACGTAGGCTCTGCGCCCATCATCTCCATGTCAACGGTGGTCCAAGACTTCATGGGGGAGGACGCGGTAGGGTCCATCGCGCACCTCTCCTACTTGCCCTCTATGTTCAGCAATTATCGCCCGAACATGAACCTCTTCGAGAAAATTGAGAATTGGGTTTCCGATTACATCGTGCGGAATGGGTATTTGTCAGCTCTGGAGGCGACGGCGAGGAGTTACTTCAACGAGGTCTACGGCCCGGGGACCGAGAAGTTGGTGGATGGATGTTGGGGCCAGGTCGATCTGATTTTGATGGCCACCAACTCGATGTACTACTACCCGAGAGCGCTGACTCCCAACGTTGTCGAGATTGGACCGTTGCATCTGAAAACCCCCGAGAAACTGCCCGAGGTAATAGACGAATGGAGAATTTGCAGGTGTCTGAAATTTGATGAATTTCGTGTTTAAATGGAAACTACTGAGTGAACTGAACACGAGGATACCCTTGGTTCATGAATTGAACAATCATTGGAGAAGATATGACAAAATGACCTAATCTGCTATAATACACGTGTTTAAACGGGAAATGCCGCCAGATGTCGTCACGAGGTGGTGCATTTTCTCATTAGTAAACCTTTTTTCATACTATTTCCCATATCAGAAAAAAATCATAAAAAATAATGTGAAATCTGCTCTTTGAGCACTTTTAGATAAAACAATAAAAAATTTGCATCAAAATTCCCCATCGTTTGCGATCGAATATCATTAACAGTACCAAGTAATGGAAACTCGAATCAAAATTCCCATCATAAGGGGTTTTGATAACTGTATTCCCAAGTACTCCCGAAATGGAACGGCTGTCAAAATCCAAGCAGATTGTTTCTAGGGCTTTTGTCACTTTGCAGTGTTTTTCCTGCTGGAAGGAGGGGGCCGGTTGCCAGTCCTGATTGTATAAGTCGTCGTTCCTCAGACACAGTGGTCTTGAAGCCCAAAAAAAGGACAAAAATGTACCGAAAAACGATTTGCAGGAAGTGAATCTATGGTACGTGTGGACTCAAAATCGCTAAAAATCAAAATCTTGGCTGATCCTAATTTCGAGGTATAGCAATTTGAACTTTTCATGGTAAATGCAAGTTTTCTACTGATTTTGATCCGTTGTTTTTATTTATTTATCCATTGCATTGGTTTTGATTGGTTCACGTTTTCATTTTTCGTTTGATTCATGTCGATCGAATACATACCCTCTTCTCACAAGCAGACTACCTATCATACTCTTTTTTTTAACTGAACAATTCGCCTTCCATTGCGTCTGCAGCAATTGTTATTATGAATATGTTATGCGTGCTGATTTCAGCTAATTACATACTCGACTTTCTGAAGGCGTTTTATGTGCACAAGTAGCGTCATCTGTCGGAGAACGAACGATGTAGGGATTAAGCGATTCATTCAATCTCATTTCTGTTGTTCTCCAACAGGGTACACTACTTTCGCACAATAAACGCCTTCAAAGAGTCAAGTATGTAATGAGCTGAGATTAGCATGTACAACATATTCGTAACAATAATTGCTGCGGACGCAGCTGAAGGCGAATTGAAAACAACCGTACAATATACGTTGAATTTTTTTTAGCTCTGTAGTTAATATTATTACTAATTAAGTGTTGTATTTTATAGTCCTCGTGGGGGGATTCTCGAAAACTTATCGACATAAACTTACTTTAAATATATATAAAGTCGCTTTACAACGCACTCTGGCGTTCTGCGACACCCAAACGCCACATATGCCTGTCTTCCCAGAGGTTATCGGACAATACTAACACCGTAACATCTCTTCGTCAACGCCCTGACGCCAACCCTTTACGGGACGTCCCCGTCGCCTCTTCCCAGGTGGTACCCAATCCAAAACTTGTTTGGGCAACCTCTCCTCCGACATTCTTTGCACATGTCCATACCAGCATAACTACCTGGACATGACGTCGTGCACGATATCTTTTTCAACCTTTATCACCTGTTGAATTCTGTTATTACGGACACGGTCCCGTCTCGAAATGCCGGCAGATCGCCGCCAAAAATCCATTTCAGTTGCCCTCAACATTTCTTGCGTTCTTTTCGTCAAAGGCCACAACTACAATAGAGCACGATACTTTTTACGATGGCGTCATATATTCGGTGCTTTTTTCCTTTGAGATGCTCTGATCCCAGAGCACCCTGTTCAGCATAGCGATGGCTCTCCTGCCCTGGATGATCCTGTCCTTAACTGCTCTATCCATCCTTCCATCCTGATCAAGCCAGACACCGAGATACTTGTACTCATCGCACTCTTCGATGCGCCGTCCATCCTCAAGCTCTATGCTTTGCCGTTGATGCGCTGCTCCCACGACCAGCTTCTCTGTCTTGGACACACTAACATCCATGCCCCATTTCCGATATTCTTCGACCAACTTCCGCGTCATGTAATCTGCATCTTCTTCATCTTGAGCTACTGCGATCTGGTCATCGGCAAAGCATAGAGTATAAAGGGTCTGCCCATCAAGGAGTGGAACGCCCATTCCCGCAACCAGGTATACCTTAAATAGTGTTGGTGACAAACAACATCTTTGTTTTAGCCCTTTTGTGACGAAGAAACCTCCGGAAAACTCTCCACGAGATTTAGCTCTTGCTATCGTCCCGTTATAAAATGACTTAATTGCCCCCACAAGTCCTTTGCTAAAACCCCTTTTTCCAAGGCTTCCCAAAGCTTCACCAACGGCACGCTATCATAAACTTTCTGAAGATCCACAAATACCAAGTGCAGCGATTTTTAGCAATTTTAAGTCTACACTCACCTTCTGCAAATCGTTTTTAGGTACATTTTTGTAGTTTTTTTTTTACTTCAAGACGACTGTGCAGACTGAGGAACGTAACTCGTTCCAAGGTTGCAAAATTGACTGCAAAAATTGAATTTTTCCCAGAAGTGTAGCTGTGCAATGTTTGTCAATTTTTTTCTGATTTTTGCATGATATCGGAAAAAAAGTCAGTGAAAATGTATGTAAAAATGTCAAGATTTTCCGGTGAAACTGCAATTTGCTAGGGAGAATTCAGCAACCTTGAAATTTATTGACATTGTTTTGTAGAACGACGAATTGTCTAGCGCTATGCGTCTGTAGTCAAGGTGCTGCCACTTTCTCTGCAAGATAACCAAAATCAAATCAAATTAAAGGCAAGTCGTATTTCTCGCTCTTAAATAAACTAATCTAGGCTTAATACGTGAAGGCAATGGGTTCAAATGTATGATACAAATTTTTCAACCCGTGAGTGGCTTTAATCGATCGCCATCGGATTAATGCGCCCTATGTTTTAACTGTTCATAATAAGGCAATGACTAAATGGGCCAGGGTAAATTAAACCGAGCTCTTATATACCAATTTTATTTTCAAATCTAATTCTCATTCTATCTACTGCTTTTTAGAATCTGCAAAATTGGCTGGACGGAGCAGAGAAAGGGGTCATTTATTTCAGTCTCGGGAGCAACATGAAGAGTAAATCTCTGCCCATAGACGTGCGACAGAATTTCTTGAAATTTTTCAAGCAGCTGCCACCGGGCTATCGTGTGCTGTGGAAATGGGAACTCGATACGAAAATTCCTGGCCAGCCTGAGAACGTCCACTCCCAGAAATGGATGCCTCAGGATAGCGTGCTGAGTGAGTAATAAAACTTTACGTCGGTAACTAGATCGGAATCAACAACCAAAAGAATTGACATACTCATATACCCATTTTGAACGCTATTTTGATATGAAAATCTAACCACCATCGCCACATTTATAACCTCTATCACCTTTGTGACACATACATATCATTCTCTGCATCATCACCCCTTCAATACCTACCTTCAATTCCACCCTTGCCACCGTCACTACCAATACTCTTGCTATAATCAGGACTAATATCGGCATTTCTTCTACCATCATCCTCTACCGTCATAATTTTACGACCTCCGTCGCCACTTAAACCACGAATACCGACGTCATCGCTGTCTACCAAATTTACCACTGCCACTTTCATTATCACCAAAACCGCTGTCATCGCCATTAATGTAACCATCCCTTGGAAGCGTTTAAAAAGGGGTGAACACAAATGCACGTGAAATAGTTAAAGAAACGGTCCACAATTGGACGTATTTCTGTCAAACGGAACTATGTGCATATGACGTGAGCCCTGTTATACATGTATTCTTATGGATCTTAGGGCTCATGTCTTAATGCACATAGTTCCGTTTGATAGAAATACGTCCAATTCGTCTTCTCCCTCACGAAAGAACGTAACTACATTTCAATGTTGCAAAATTTCCCCACGCAAATTGCAGTTTCATCGGGAGAGTCTTGGGAATTTCTGACTGAAAATTTCACTAGTTTTTCTCCTGACCGTACCTTGCATAAATCAAAAAAATGTTGGATAAAAGTCTCTTAGTCATTTTTCGTAAAAAAATCGAATAGTTTGCGTCAATTTTGCAACCTCGGAATGGAGTTACGTTTATTTGTCTAGGAAACAATGAATTTCCGAATTATTTGACAATTTGTGGAATTTTATCAAAGAGTCCGTCAAACGTGGGTCTCTTTTTGCGAGAACTCAGGGACTTCATTAAAAGTAGCCTAAACAAGAACGCTCCTCTAGTGAAAGTCTTAGTATGAGTTCAAAACTCCTTTTGGCAAAACAACGTTGCAAAGTTTACATTTTTAATCATAAAAAATGCGGGATTGTGTCATCTAAAGGTTTCATTTATGCCACATTTGAACAGTATTCCTAAACACCTCCAAAAAGGGGCACGGAAAGGCCCTTTTTGATAGGTTTTCATACTTAAGCCGGAAAAAAGAGCACAAGGTTGTTGGATGATTGAGACAATTCCAATTAATTGTGGTAATATCCCATTAAATTAGGTTGCAAACCCAATATTGCGGTACTACTCCATCTTGAGTTGCGCTATTACCACAATCAATTGGAAATGTCCATATCATTCAACAAATTGGGGTAGTGCCACAATTTTCGGGGATAACCTCCAACACTTTTTCCCTGAGGAGCCATATAATTCATGTCATGGCAGCATTCAAACAGGTGCGAAAATATGTAGAGGAAAAATATGCGAATCAGAATGTTAAATTAAATTTGAGATTTACAAATATTTTCTCCCGCAGATCATCCAAAAGTAAAAGTGTTCATAACCCAAGGAGGTCTGCAGAGCTTCCAAGAAACTGTGCACTTTGGAGTTCCAACGGTTGGAATCCCTTGGTTTGGCGATCAGGAATGCAATGTCGCCAAGATGGTGGACGCTGGAATCGGGACACAACTGCTCCCGCATGAGCTCCATTCCTACGACAAAATCAAATCAGCGCTGGAGGCTGTTCTGTTCGATGACAAGTGAGTTTACTATAAAAAAAAGTAAAACTGCCATTTTCTAATGATTACTGGCTTTTGATATGAGTTTCCTTGCTTTTGGCGTGTTCGATATATTTTAAGATGCTTCAAAAATTAAAACTTTTCACAAATAAAAAACACAAACAGACATTTCACATTTTCTGGCCGAAAATCATTGGGAAACAAAAGGACTGAGCGCTACGCACGTTGCTATTATATTACGACTTCAGTTTTCCATGTAGATCAGAACACGGCCCCGGTGTAGGAATAATTGAGGGGTTGGCAGACAAGGCGCATAAGTGAAGTTTTTGCTATTTCGAGAAAGTGGTGTTTGAAATTTCAAAATTACATGGAGCCTTACGGTGGAGTGAAAGTTCGAACAGACTTTTTGATGAATACAAATTGAAATTTTTGGGCGAATTATTCACAGAATATTGAAGACTAGCATGAAGACTAGTATTACTTGAAATATTAATACGTCAATTTTTTCAAGAATGCACTTATTCGCCTTGTCCTCAAAGCCCCCCCCCCCCNCCCCCAGTTGTGCATCCGTGCTTCCGTTTCTTGCGTTTCCTTGAAAGTCTATGAATTATTTTAGACTCAACCTAACGATTTAAATGCTAGCTGCGTTTTGGTATTCGATGGAGATGTTGCATGTGTGAGGGATTTGCGATTTGACTGTTGATACTTACGTAAAAGTTCGCGAGAAACACGATGGTGCCTTTGGTTTTCTGTAAAATCAACTCCCAAGCTCAAAAAAAGCTCTCCAGTTGAGGCCAAAATGGAAGGGATATCCCACGCTATCCTGAGAGTCCACCTCTTTATCAAGACAAACTCTCCATGCGAAGATAGGGAGTAAATACATCAGCATGGTTGCTGTGTTTTCAGTTTTAGAGTCCCCAAATAAAGTGGCAACCCTGCTAATGTATTTGCTTCCTATCTTTGCATGGATAGTTTGTCTTGATGTAGAGGTGGACTCTCAGGATAGCGTGGGATATCCCCTCCACTTCGGCTTCAAGTTGAGAGCTTTTTTTGAGCTTATGAGATATGATTTCAGAGAAAACCAGTGGCACCATAGTGTTTCTCGCGAACTTTTACGTAAGAATCGACAGCCAAATCGCAAATTCCTCACACATGCAACATCTCCATTGTTTATGATTGACGGTTCAAGTGAATAAATATTTAATTAGTTAACTGATGTGATTTTTCTTCTATTCCAGATATGCGAAGAATATGAAACGGCATTCACTGATATCTCGCGATTTTTCATCCAGAGGCATGGATCAAGCGGTATTTTGGGTCGAACATGTTGCTAAACATGGCGGGGCGGCTCATCTGAGACCAGCGACTGCCGATACTACTCTCTTCCAATATTTTTGCCTAGATATAATTTCTGTCATTTTAGTTTTAAGTTGTTTCATTTTAGGCATTGTTTTTCTCATCATGAAAGCATTAGTTTCAGCATTTCTCCTGACAGTAAAATCTGAAACGAAGACGAAAACGCAATAAATCCTGACTTGTGATATGCCTAACATTATTCGATGACTTCAAATAACTTCATAGGATTAATTTATTTAAATACAATTTCGACATATTGAAAAGAAAGATTTGTACTGGTTCAATCGTTGAGTATTTTCTTTGGGAATTTTCCCTTTCTCTCTTTCTATTCCCCTCCCCTCAATTCTTTTACACCCCTGATAAAAATGTTCCGTGCGCATTTGCATAGAAATCACCTGATTTTCAAGAAAAACGCATGGAAATCAATTGGTTTACATGAAATTCGCATGGAAGTCAAATCATATCCATGTAACTTGCATGGAAATGATTTGATTTCCACGCATCGTGGAACTCAAGTGATTTCCACGCGGAAACTTCATCGTTTCCATGCAGTCTGCATGGAGCTGTAATTCTTGCCATGCAGTCTGCATGGAAATCTTATCTTTGCCGTGCAATAAGCATGGAATCGTCACTACCACTATATTTGAGGTGCCTTAAAAAGTGAATAATGGAAAATTATATTGAAGCCACAACAGCTTTTGAGTAAGTTGCGATATTGTAAACGGCGGCTCTCACAGTTTTGCATGAAAATACGATGACCAGAGAAAGACGACTTGAAAACCACAATCCGAATAAAGCGTTTGGGTTCTCTTTTTTTAAAGAAGACTGACAGACAGAAAAAATCTCATTATTTATAATAATCAAAATAATATTCTTCGGGCGTTTTTCAAAATTATGGCTCAATTGAAGTCTCCAAAATTATGAAAATTTTTGGTTAACATCATTCTACAGAGCCACTTACATAAGATGAAGAGGAGCGCCTTCAACCCACTCCATAATCTTAATGCAAAACTCTGATACCACTATTCGTGCGTTACGACAGTCATTTTGCATAGCCGGCTAATTGAAGGCAAATCATTGGCTCAGGCAACAGGGTACGAATTTCAGCAATGTGATACGTAATTTTTGGGGAGCAAAACCTCAGAGGGTGCCCCAACTAGCATCCAATGGGTCACTAAACCATGAACGAATTTTGACTTGCGAATATTGTTTTCTGAAGGAAAATGACGCATAGAACACGATGCACACATTAAAAACGCGAACAAATAATTCAATAAACGAGAAATGCGCAGTTCAAATCGCTCAACTTATACGCAAATTTAAAATGCCGCGGTTTCGCGCCGCACCGAATGATGTCATCCGGCACCGATCAGAGGCGGGCACGGGTTTCCACGACGTCAGTCAAATGTCTATCTACTCTTCGTATATGAGAACAATACTAAAGTCGAAATCATATCTTTTGAATACAAAACTCGAATCTCATTCATATGTTAGCAGTAATAAACAAGCATTCCACATTGAAATACGTTTTATTTTAACAAACATCAGAGGAAAATGAGAGAAGACTGCGATATGACTACCGCAGTATATCAACACCGTCAGTTTCCCGCCATTCGGGTGCGTTTGAAATGTCTTGCAGTTTTTAGATTTTTCAAAAGCTGTTTTTTCCGCGATTTGGGTTCCATAAAAATGCGGAAAAATCACCACGTTATCTACTCACAAAGTACTTTCAGAATATTCAATAAAATAAACAAGGTTTAGTGACCCATTAGACCACCCTCCGGGGGTACTCCACCTGGCATTCAAGATGCCCATCCCCCAGGCCCCCAGGCCTGGTCCCCTTGGCCTAGAGAGTGAATAATGCATGAACATGAACGCCGCGGGCCGATAGTGAGAGGTACCTATGAAGAAATGATACTTGAGGACCCTCGATTGAGGAGCATTCAGCAACTGTTCAAAACCAGCGAATTCCCGAAATCATATAAATATACAGAACAGGTAATCAGCTTACGTATGCTGCAGGCTACAAATACTGAGGAGAGCGCGTTGTGCGTACGACGCGCCGGATCAAATGAAGGGGCCAGAACGAGCTACGCATTTCTGCACTTAAGCCCGAGATACACGAAAAAGTTCTTCTGTTTTAGGTGACTTCCCGCTTGTTTTCGATTATAGTCTCTTACTGGCAGATAGACGACATCTTCAACAGCACGTTCATGCAGCTAACTCAAAGCTGTTAAAAATTCTGATTCTAGGTGGCGGTAGCCACCCCGGCCCAATCCTAAAAAACTCCCTCTAAAAAATGACGACCCAAAAAAAAAAAAAAAAAAAAAAAAAAAAAAAAAAAAAAAAAAAAAAAAAAAAAAAAAAAAAAAAAAAAAAA